TCGAGTGACCAGCGTCGCTGTCGGGGGTGTCGTGCTTGTGGAAGTTCTCGGAGACCTCTCGGCCAGCATCGTCCTCACCGTCGTCCTCCCCCTCGGGCTCCTCCTCCTCGTCCCTTTCCTTCTCTCCTCGTTTGGGGGCCACATGCGAACCCTACCCCTACCCCCGACGATTTCTGAGGGGGAGGGTGTGGTTCACTTCGTTCGGGACCTCCCGAGCGAAGTGAGCCCCCCCCCCCTCCCCCTCAGAAATCGTTGGGGTGGGGGGGGGTGGGTTCGCATGTGGCCCCCTACTCGCCCCCCTCCCTTTGTCCCTGTCGTATCCGACCCTCCCGCGGTGGACCCTCGTGCCTCCTACGCGTCGGGGGCGCGCCCCCCGTCGCCCAACCCCCCTTGCGCGCTCGGTCGCCGCCACTGGTCGCCTCCGCCCGCGCTCCGTCGTGCCGCGGGCGCGCCCCGCCGCCAACCGCGCGCCTCCCGCCGCCCGGGCGGCGCGCCCCGTCGCGGTCGCGCCGGGGGCGCGCCCCCCGCCGCCCTTCGAGCGCCTGCGGTCCCCCGGTCGCCGCCTCGGGGGGCGCCTCCCGCCGCCGCCCGCCGCCGAGGCGTGCCGCCGCTGCGGGGGCGCACCCCGCCGCGCCCCCGCCCCCTGCCTCCTCCCTCCTCCGCCCGGGAGTCGCGGCCGCCGGGACCAGCATGCCCGTCGTGCGCGCACCTCTGGGTGCCCACACACCTGGGCGCACCACGCCCGGCACACTGGCCGCCTGGACGTCCAGCCCCCTTGTGAAGGGGAAGATGCCCATCATATTGAAGGGGCCCTGGGACACACAAATGAATACACACAAATAAAAGGATGCCCCATATTTTCCCATATCTTGTGGGTTTCTGTTTTCCCCCCACTTCCCATATTTTCCTATTTTTTCTGGGGAATCGACGATTAATTGTGTCTGTGTGTTTTTTCCCCTCCTGACATATGCGCATGTGGATGCCCATCCCCCTCTGCTGGGAGGGTGCCCATCAGATGCCCACACGGATGCCCATGCCTCTGGCGAGAACCAGGGTCGACCTGGTGTGCTCCGAGCGGGCCTCCCGCGGAAGAGGCCAACACCACGATGCGCACAAGGAGGCCTGGAGGGAGCCGGCGAGCTCTGAGAGGCCTTCTTTGCATCAGCCCTGGCATCGCCAAATGCGCAAGGAGGCGGAAGCGGAAAACGAAGACGACGACAACGAGGAGAAGCCAAAACAAATATGGCATGATAAGAGGGTAATATGAAGAAGATATAGGGAATAGGAGTAGGATGAAGAAACGTGGCAAGGGGGGCGGAAGGAAAATACAAGGGAGACCCAGAAGAGAAAATTAGTAGGCTGATCGCTCGCCTGGACACGCCTCCTGCGAAGCGAAAGGATAATCCCTGAATCCCTTCATAGAACACCCCTATCAGTGTAGTCCACGGATTTCGATTCAAAAGTTCACGTCCAGGACGCGAACAAACGCACGAGAGCACACTGTGCGCAAGATAGGACACCGCGCGTGATGACCACACGGGCGGCGGCTTCGACTTTGGTTTCCACCTTCCCAGGCTTCATTTGATAACCTGACGTAGTCGCGCGCACCAGCATAATGCCACAACGCGTGCGGGGATATGTGTTGTCTGAACGCGAAGTCCATGCGAAAAAAACGTGAAGTGTGTGTTGTTGTTGTTGTTGTTGTGGTGGTAGTGGTGGTGGTGGTGGTGGTGGTGGTGGTGGTGGTGGTGGTGGTGGTGGTGGTTGTTGTTGTTGTTGTTGTTGCTGTTATTGTTCTTGGTATTGTTCTTGGTATTGTTCTTGTTGTTGTTGTTGTTGTTGTTGTTGTTGTTGTTGTTGTTGTTGTTGTTGTTGTTGTTGTTGTTGTTGTTGTGTGTGGTTGTGTGTGGTTGTGTGTGTTTGGCATGTGCGGGGCATGATCCACCGTCGATGGCTGGAACAAAAATTACAAGCGGGGGTCAAAGACCAGAGGGCCCTCCCCTCCCCCCAAGCAAGAGCCCGAGATCTGAATTGGGGGGTCGGCAACCGCATGGCCCTCCCCGAATCTAACCCCCCCCCCCGCCAGGAACCGCGCGGGGTCAGAGCCCCCGCTTCTGCACCCGGGGACAGGGGCAAGTATTCGAGAGGTTCAGCACCCCGCCCCGCCCTCCTGCAACGACGACGACGACGACGAAGGCGTCGTCGCCGCCGACGCCTACGACGACGCCGACGCACGGCAACAACGTCAGCAGCGGCGGCGGCGCACAAGTCGCTGGCGCCCACGCCAGGCGCCGGCTCTGATAGAATGCTAATAGGGCCTAGGGCTCGATCCAGCTCTAATCCCACCAGCCCTTTAGCCGTTTACGTCGTGAGTGGTTTGGCTACTTTCTTCTTCCAACCACCTTCTTTCTTTTAGGGGAAGGCTTTTTACCACTGTTCAACTGTTCCTATCGATAAGCACCCCTCCCCAGGCGACCGGCAGCCAAGCAGGCCCAATGCGATAATGCGACCCCCACCATCCCTGTCAAAGAAGGTACGAAGCACATTTTGGGGCAAAATCTTGGGTCATGCTTGTGGGCCCCGCGGG